TGAGGTAATTCAGGGCTTTACTCTTTGCCCACTGCTGCCTTTCTTGTCATGAGGCCACATTCTCATGTGGCTTGACATTGGTACTTTTCCATACCCATTAATAGATTTATGCAGCTCATGAGCTACATCATAATCTTCATGGTCTATAAGATATAGTGTAGATTTGTTTATGAATAATAAGCAGTAACAAAAGTGCATTCTTTTTCCCTTATTCTTTGGAAGATTGCACCTCATTTCAAACACTCTGAATCAAACCAACTTCTCCATAAGTTTCATAAGTCTCCATATTTCTAGATATAAAATGAAATATATTTAATTAACTTTAGAAATCAAGCTATCTAGAGCCAAACCTCAGCAAATAATAGTGGGTAGAAGAGACTAATACTGTGATGCATAGTTAAATATATATAAGTGATCCTTTTGTAAAAGGTGATGTGGAACTTGCACTGGCTCTTTTCATTAGCTGAGTTTGGGCCCAACAAGGAGGTGTTGACCTCCCAACTTATTGCATAGTTTGAGTAGTTCTCTCTAGGGATAAGACAAGATGAGACAATTTCTGGAGAGAAAGTGTCTAAGGCAAAGTTGTTTCTACAAAGACAATTCCTAAACAACAGAGAAAATGGAAGAAAAGAATTGCTTAATGGCAACAGCAAAGGGGAAAAAAAATCTGAATTTTCTATTTTCATGGACTTTTATTTTCTTTCAGTTTTGATGCCCTATTCCTTGAGTTAGAAACCTAGTGGTAGCTTAAATTATCTCTTTTTCTGGACATCCTTATCCTTGCACTAGTAAAAATGTAAAATGCACAATGTTAGCTCTACTCTGCCTCAGTTAAAATTACAGTTCTTTAGTTGATAATGGGCTAGGAGTCTCTTAGAGATTCAGCTTTCTCCCCTAGCGACAGCTTTCTAAAACTTTGAATTATACTTACCAAGGTGAACAGAGTTATTAGGTTGCATTTCTTTTAATATTTTCTTAATTTGAGGGTCCTTTCTTCTGTAATAGAAGGGTGAGGTAACTACAGAAAGGTTAGCCTGAGCATGACTATATCAGCACTCTGTGGTAAATTTTCATGGTCATCATGAAATCCCTGTTCCTACATGGTGGAATAGGCTTGAGCTGCTACTAAACTGAACTCAGAAAATGTTCGGGGACTTCAAAAAAAATAAGACCTCCAGAGCATGTTCACTCACCTAACTGAATATTTCAGTAGACTCAATGCAATTATTCATCAGTGCTGGACTGGCACAGAATATGTGAATATTTTCCTGGCTATGTTTATAAAGCTGTCCCAAATTCCATTAAATAAAATTTTCCCTAAAATAATCAGTTTCATAACTTCTCATAACCTTCAGCACTAACCTTTTTAGATACTTGCAAAACTGGATCTTCTAAGCTTTCCATGAAATCATCAGAAATGTGTAATGCATTAGGATTGTATTTGTTTTACTGCATAAATACAAGCAAGCAGATCTATTCATTTCCATAGTGCTCTCCTCCCCATTAAGATTTTCTAAAGACACTGTTGTTTTTTTCCTAAATGTAAGTGGCAAAGAAAAGTGTCCCAGGCATATAATTTTAGTAGTGTCTTCTTCCCTTATGACTCATTACTGCTGAAATCAACACAACTTGAGAAGTGCTCAGGAACTTCAGTAGCTCTTTAATGTTTTCAAATAGTAACATCTGTGCATGTTTATGACTTCATGCTCTGCCTTAGCATTGGCCTTGGCCAATGTTTCTGGCTGTTAAGTGGTTGTATTTTCAAAGAGCAGGGTCCCTTCACTTTGCAAGAAGCAAGAGAATGCAATTATTGAATATTCAATTGAGCAGAACAGCAGCAATGCTGCAGAAACAGACCTGCTTTTATCAGAGTTGTACATGTTTGTTTAGAACTTGTACACATTCAGAGGTGACTGATACACTGCTTAATTTTTGTTTTCCCCACAAGTCATGACCAAATCTTTCCTTTTACTCTCTACCTTCACTTAAAGACAATGATGCTTCTGGATGTGAACACCTCTGCACATTCTCACAAAGAATATTATTATTAATATTTGAACTTGCCATCTAATGTGATAGTTGGCTGAGGGCAGAAGAGTCACAGAGGGAGAGAAGCAATAGAGGCAAAGAAAAGGTTGGATTGAAGACATGTAGTGAGAATGGAAGAGAACAGATCTCATCTCAGCGACCAGCAGTGACCTGAAACACCCCTTCTTTAGGAGATGGCTGGAAAGGAATCTGCAACCACTCTTTCTTGTCCTTACATAGACAGTATCAGCTGGAAAAGCCATGGAATTAATGCTAATATTAAGTCTAATAACAGATGTGTATCTATTATTTAGAATTGTAGTTTACTCCAGTTTACCATGGGGAAGTTCTTATGTCCTGTAAAGCTTTTCCAGGATAAATACAGAAATCTTGAAAGGTTTATGCCAACAACAGAAGTTTTATGCTTGATTTCCACATTTGAAATTCAAAGTCTTCAAGGAACAGTCTCTGTTGATTGAGGAGCTAATGACACGTTACTAATTACAAGAACTAAGAGACTGAAAGTTGTACAACTTGGAGGAGAATGGGTTTAGGTAACTATTTAAAAGAGATTGAAAACCTGAGGAAGCATCAGAAATAGAGACTAAAAATATGCAGCCTGCCTAACTTCCCTGTGGAATGTGCAGATTTACTGATGACACTGAAACTAAATAAACATTTACCTTTGTTAAACAAACTTGAACACATTTTGAATGTAAAAGAGCCATATATGTTTTACTTTCCAATTACAGGTCACACCTGTATTCCATACACTATTTTACTAAAATTAAATTTCTTCCCAGTATTTTTCATTTCTGGCAATGTGCTGAACTGGCATGATGGAGCTTTTAGGACTGAGCATCTTCAATTTTACTTTACCCATACTGTAGCTGTAGTATGATTATGTTGGATATTAAAATAAATAGAAATCTTTTGAATTCATCAACACAGGACAAGATATAAAACATTGTTGGAGTTAGAATATGTTCATTTGGGAAATAATTAGAAAGTAAGCATAGAGACAATAATTTTATTGTTTTAGGAAAACTTCTAAAGGGAGCAATGGGAAAGAGATGATACGTGCATGTACATATTTGAAGGCTACTAAATGTTTTTGCTATCTTTGGTACTTCTGAAACAATTTCAGAATATGTAAGTTCCTAATAAGATTTTTTCTAAAGCAATTTTGGCGTTTAAAAGGGGTCTAGCTTTCTCAGTGGTGGTAAATATAAACCAGACCTACGTGGAGTGTGTGGTCCACTTGCATAATGGTTTGGAGTCCAAAATTAAGTGCACACACTGGAGATGTGTGTTTGCAGTATGTGCATATGTGTTTTGTTTTCCTGAGAGGTTTCTCATACTTTTGTGGAAGAACATGATGTTTTAGTGTCTCTTGAATTGGCTGTGCCTTTATGTATAAGAATAAAAGTATTTTAATTCTTCGTTGTATCACTGGCTTTTTCATAGAGAGAACAAGTGGTTTGGGATTGACTCTTGAGTAGAGCTTTGGAGATCTTCCTATCTTTCAGGTAAGGCTTGGCATGACTGGCTGGACTATTAATTGTTCTTCCTTTCAAAACCAAATAAGAAGCTGATTGCCTTTTACAGGCAATATGTTGTATTTACTCCACATTTCTTACTATAAACTTTTTGAGATACATAATATTCTGCAAAATCTAGAAATAGGTGCTCTGGATTGGTTATTTACATTTGTTTTTATTGAGTTCACTATTGGTTCTTCAATATATAGATTAAAGAAGGTTTAACTGAAAAATAGAGGATGACCTATCTTGGCAATGACATATTTGAGACACATTCTTACAGATGAACTGAACCATCCTCTTCATATGTATAAATTCATTATTCTAAACTCCTGGAGTTTATTTTCTTACTGATTTTCATGGTCAAACTCATATCTTATTCTCAGATAAGGACCTGCACTAAAACATGACTGAAGTGCTGTAAAACACTACTGAAAACTAAAAAAAACACCCCAGAAAGAATACCCTTTCAAAGCTATCAGTTATGCAATAACCCACCATATGTACAAAAAAGAGCAGATTTTCAGTTGCCTTGAACTAAGCATGGTGGTGATAATTTACAGCAGCTGGAAAGCTGACCCTTTATGGTTTTGATAATTTGAAAGGCTTATCAAAAGTCCTTTTAAACCATTTAAAAGACCTTTTAATAATATTTCAAAATTGTTGACAAAACCTTCCTTTTATCATCTGAATCCTAGCACTTGAAGGAATATTCTTAGTGGAACATTTTCAATTTCAATTTGATATTAAAATATTGGTAGGAGAATATAGAGGTCTAAGTGTGTGGTTTTAGAGACTTTTTTTATCTGTTTAGCAGGGTAATTATATTTGCCTTGCATGAGCACAATGAAATGGCTACTCAGAGAAATCATTTGAGCTGTAACATGGGGTTTTGGCTGCCTATTTCCAGATATTATTAAAAAGAGAGAAAATTTTTGTTTATGCAAGACCTTGCATTTTCCCCTGCTTCCGTCCATCCAAATGGCACAAACATTCCTCTTTTGCCTTCTCTTATATCAGGCTTTAAATGCTCCTCAAGAATTTTCAGGATAGAATTGGAAGACTAATAGAATTTCCTTTCTATTAGTCTTCCAAAATCCTTGTGAATTCATGCAAGGTTCCCCTGGTGACACTCCCAATGAAAAATAAACTACAAGCCATACTTGTGAATTCATCTTGTGTTGCTTTCAGTGTAACCTATTTCAGCCGGCAAGTCTCACATAACCTTTCCCTCTTACTTGGGATTCACAGAGAACCTGAGATCAGCCTCCTCACTGCTTCCAGAGTGCATTGTAAAAACTATGTGGGATTTAAACTCAGGCTTTAAATAATTATCTGGTGGGGTTTTTTTTGGAAGTGTAACATATCTCAGTAATAAGCAGAATTTTGGACCATGCTTCTGGAGGACAACTCTCCTCAGTGGGTGTCACAAGGTATTGAGGTAAGCAAGAAGTTAAATACATTTATCACTGATGAATTCCTATAAGCCTCTGATAATTTCCTATACATATTGTATCCTAGATCTTAATGAACATGATCTTGGCCATTAAATTATTAAAATAGGGGAAAAGAAACATTTATTGCAAGATGTCATACTTAAAAACCAAGCTCAATTACAGTTGTGATAGTGATTTCCTTTCTGTAAATTTCCTGACATCTTTTGATAATATCTGAATCCTTGTGACCATGCTTGCCCAATAGGTGGGAAAAAAAGTGTTCCAGTTTCAAAAGCTCTTTGTGTTACTGTTGACTATGACACTTCTCTGTAGTCTTTTTCCCAAGCCAAAACTGCAGCTAAGCTGTGCTTATCCCATGGAGACTCCTGTGATTCTTAGCTACTTCACAACAGGTCTAGAAGCTGACCATGGGAACGAGCTTGTTCCCTGGGATGAGAATGTGTTATGTGTCCAGCTTTATGCAAAGCTAACAATTGTCAGGGAGATAGGTCAAAACATGCTAGATAAACTTATTTCTATTAAATGTATTTATATATTTAATAGAGCCCCAAAGCACAATCTCTATGACTGAATTAAAATTCAACTAATATGGGACTGGTACTCATGAACAGTGAATAGCTTTCAGGAATTGATTCTTCAAACCAAAAATGCTTTATTATTTCTGAAAATTACCCAACTCCAGGAATACAAAACACATTGTTTTAATGGTAAGATAATTGAAACATCTGGAACTGACAGAATTAGTCTGCAGAGCAACAATTGAACAGATGAGGGGACATACTGGTATGGCTGTGAAGAAGCAAAAGCCAACCCAGCCTGCTCCTACCCATCCAAGAGAGAATGAAGCTTCACAAGTGTTTTTCCTGGTCTCATTGACACTCATGATTCACACAACAGCTACAGAATCTCTTGAGGCAAGGCCATTTACCCAGTGCTCTTTATCAGAATGGACAAATCTGTGTTTCGCAGTGCTATCACAGAAAATACTTGTTTACTTTCATTCCTGGACTTCCACGCCAACAATGCCAACATGAACAGCAGCTGATTGCAGTCACAATGACAGAAGTCAGTCTGTGAACAACCATAAGGAAGCCACCAATGTATTTTCTATTCTGACAAAGCAATTTTTAGATTGTAACAATTTTAAGCACATTGATAAGAACAGTTAATTTAAAAATTATAATCTTAAGCATTAAAAAGTCACAAACTCAAGAGCTAGTATTGATTTAAATGGCTACTTTTGACTTTTAAGTGTTTAAAAATATAATTTTAATTTAATATTTTACACAGTAAGAGACTTTAACTTGCAATGTAAGTTTGTAGTGGTAGATAAGAATAAAATGTTGCTTTGTCTTTATTTTTATAAAGCACATCTTGGGACTTTGTGCATCTTCTAGACCATATGGTATTCCTGGGTTTCAGATCACGCACAAAGGTAAAGAGAAATAAATTCTATTCTGGTACAGAGAATAGACAGAATATGATTAACATAGAGTGAGTATTAGAAAAGAAAAGTTATCTTGAGTTTGTCATGGGAGAGGCATTTTTATAAAATTCCTTGTGTTGAGTGTGTTTTTCCTAATGTTCTGCAAAACTTCAAATGTTTCCAATACTGATGCTAGATGAATTTATATGTATATATATTTTTTAATTTCAGAATATTTTTTTGTAAATCCATGTATTTCAGGAACAACACTCCATATTTATCTCCCAATGCCCTCCTGCTGAGCAGGCTTTGCTAGCTTATTTGGAATCTTTATGTGTGCCTTTCAAACTCAAAGAGCAAGGTATCTGTTCTTCTGTTACCTGTTACACCTGTTTTTTCATATGCATGAGCATGTGCAAAAATCTGACTGACAGCACCAGTTCTAGCATGAACCAAATCCCTTCCAAAACTGATTTGGATAACTTTGGGACTCTGAGCAGCAGTCAGATTCCCTGGCCACAGTCTGTTCCTCAAGATTTAGGTACTGGGTTGAAAGCTTAACTGATGGTTTTCCCATCAGCCATGTTTCCTCTCAGGGATTTGGGTGTGGTTCTGGTCTGTGATCCTGAGACCCAACACCCACTTCTGTCTGCTCCAGCCCTTGACCCTGTCTCTTGGATACAGATCCCTCTGTCCTGCCTGCTGTCCCAGCTTGTTCCTGCAGCTGAGCAGTCAGACTAATCCTGTTCCAGCCTTCTTTGTTTGACAGCTCCTTTTTGCAGGATGGATCTTGTAATACTCAGCTGAGTCTCTCCTTGCATTTACTGCTTGAATCTTGAATTTAACTTCTATTAGCTTTTCACTGGCCCAAGGTGCTAGTATAAGGGACAGCTGAGAACCTGAACTCCTCCCATTGAAACTGAGTAAAAATATTGTGACTGAAAAGAGATCAGCAATAAAAGCTGATGCAAAAATTCAAGATGTAATGCTTTTGAGATCTAAGGAACTTACTCAGCTTCATTTGTTTCAGTCAAAGGGCATTGAGAAACAGATAAAAAAGATCTGACCTTTGTGAAAATAAGACACTTATCTGACCCAAGCTTTCACTGATAAATAGCAATGATAATAAAATTGTATTTGCCATATATGTTTCTTGGGGCTTTCACAGATTTAGTTGGGCTTAACTGAATCATGACAGCCACTAAACATTTTCTTAATCTACTGCACTTAGAAGTCCCCAGATAGGCTGTTGCTAGCAGCAAAATGATTTGTCTGCTCTGATCTTCTCTTTTCTCTGCACTCCATAATCTTGGTGTAAAGAAATGCAAGGCTGTGAATAGCCAGTGGATTCTGAAGTGATCGGGTAATGAGAGTGAGTTAACATCCGTTCTGTCTTGCAATGCCTTCTGTTTAGGTCTTTTATTCATTTCAAAACCTAAATTTTTATGCAAGCAGACAAAAAAGGAACTGTCTTAAGCTACTATCAATAGGATACTTCTGTCTCAATGAACGGGAATGTTTAGTCTATATCCACATTGTGTTTTTGCAAATATTGTTTAAAATTACAAAGAGAGGCTCTGAAAACCTGTGCTTGATTGTTCTTCAGGATTAAATTGCAGCACGACATCTTGCCTTCAGCTGCTTCAGCGGCAGCCTACAGTTGTCCACCCCCAGCTCAGATCAGCTCGCTCGCAGTCATGGTCTGTGCTTTGGTCCCTCATTCTTTAGAGGAGGAAGCAATCTGTTACAGTCTATTCACACAGGATTATTCTTGCTATCTGGTCCAGATCTGCTGGGCAACAAGGCTGCATATCCTGCTCCCACCACTTGTGCTGTGCACATCAGTGTGTGTGATGAGGAGGGGAAACCCCCGTGGAGACACCGAGACCTGTGGTGCCATTTAGCAGAACAGCAAAAATGTGACATGGTCTTGCAAAAATAAAGTTGCTACTGTCTTTTTTTAAAGGATGTAGTTGCTTTCATTTGTGATACTCTCCTGTTTGGGTCAAAATGGCTGGCTCTTATTGGTACTGCTGATACATTTGTACTATAGGAAGAAGAAGCTGGGCTGTGAGATGATGTTTGTTGCATATCTTTGTAAAAAGACCTTATAATTATGTCCTAACAGTGCTGATTTCAAATAAGTACTTTTCAAGTCTATTTAATACCTTAAAATCTTCTAAGTTCATACAAGTGTAAAAATAATTTTTTTAATACACTAAAAGAACACAAAATGCCAAGTTATCTCTCTTTTTGAGGAAAAAGGGATTCTTTCCCTAGGATATGTGGATTTTATCATTAAGAGCTAGAAACTGATAAACAGGGGTGAAAATGGCTGGGACTGTGCAAGAAAGATATGTTTTCTAATAATATATTCAATAATTAGTGCAAATATTTCTCAAAACATATTCAAGCAACTGTCAAACTAGCTGAATACCTATGTCTTCAGTTAAAAAAACCCAGATCACTAAATAATTCTTTGATTAAAATGTTAGGATTAATTTTTAAATGTTTCTAGCAAATGACATTAGTTTAGCTGAATTGTAAAGTAAAACAATCAGAGCTTTTCTTGTATCTCTGAGAAGAAAAACTGACTAATTTTGTAAATGGTTGCACAGATTTGGCTTTATTTCTTTGAGTCTAAACTGCATATTAAATTATGAATATTGTCATTCCTCTTGTAGTAGGGACTTAATATACTGTTAAAAAAGCAAAATAATTCACTCAATTAAAAATATGAAGCAATAGCTCCAAGGCTGTGGACAAACACCAATTCTTTTTATGTTAATAGCAATATTTATGTGTTCATCACTAGACATAAGTAAAAATAAATATGGATTCCTAAGATCTACAGAGCCATTTTGCTTACAAATAGAGCAATGTTGGTACAGATACATTGTTGAGGATGGATATGATTTCTTTATTTGTTAATTACAAATATATAGAAACATGCCCTTTTTTGAAACATTCATAATGAGAAGGCCCATTCTCACTAATTTTCTGAGTTTAACAGCTCAGCTTCTTATGGGACCCTCTTGAGGCTGAGGAGAGACTGAGGGAAGCAGGGTAAAATGCTTCTTTTCCTGCATTCTATCCATTTTTTGAATGAAGTTCATATGAGCAAGAGGCTACAGAGGGACTAGACTGGTTTGAGGTAAACTGTGGAAAAGCCCTGATTCTTTATTTCTTGCAGTCAACTGTGGCCTGCAAGGGCCTAAAAGTCCTGCAGGTTGATCTGGAGATAATTTTTCATTCCTTCTCCTCTCAACAAAATCTTTTGAATAAAATTTTGAGGCTGTTTCTTTCTTTTTATTTTCTGCTGTGAATTATTTCTCATAAAAGGTGATAGATCACAGAATGTTTCTCTTTCAGTGAGTGAGACAGCTCAAGGTGTGACTTAGTTCAAGGGTCTAAGTTATTTCCGTCAGCCAAAAACAATCCACACCAAAGGAGCTGATGACAAATATGTGAGAAATCAAACATATTTGATGGTAAGGACATAATGCCAGAAACCTTTCATTGACTTGGTTCATCCTTATTCATGAACAGAGATGAGTCACAATCAGGCACTGGTTTGAACTTAGTTCAGCTTTTTAGTTTTGTTGCCCACCTCTATTTCTGTCATATGAAATAATGATTTTCTAGCAGAATAATGAAATCAGTTTTTTTCTAGTAGTCTGTTTTTGAGTTTTTGATGTTTTAAATTTCCTCAGTTGGATTTTTTTTTTCTAAGGATACATTTACTCAGCAGAGAAAATGTCAGATTCAATAGTTGCAGTTTCTTGAAGCAGCTGAAAGTAGAGTACTGTAAAGGAAAATCAGTGATCAATTTTGATGGGAAGGGCTGGTAACAACACTCATGTTGCCCATTCATATAAAAGCATGGTTGAGAAGTATCTCAGTGTTCAGTGAAGTGCTGTACATTAAGCAGCTGATTTATACTTCGAAAAAATAATGCTATGCTGGAAACACTTGCAAGACCATTCATCTGTTATTGGCCTGACTCAATAAGGAAGTATTGCTCTCTCCAGAATGGCTCATTCTGTCCAACAAGGCCTGATTCAGTTTGTCCAAGTCAGTGCTAGTATATATATTTTCACAGTTAGGCTATGACAGATCTGGTGCTGGAAAGAAAAGAGACTCCCAGAAGCCATCTATCAACATGTGCCAAACCTATATTTTCTACAGATTTGACCCACATGAAATAATACATTAGTATTAGCCCTTCTGAATGCCTTGTAAAATGAAAATCAGTTTTCCTTCCCTGACTTAACAGATGATGTTAATAGGAAATCTGTTTTCTGAATTAAAGACTTGGTGCAATAGAGGCCAGAAGCTGAAAGGCCAAGTGTTGGATGGTACTGCTTTATCTAGGACAGCTGAATGGTTTTGAAAATCTGATCTGCAGAGCTGAAGGACTGCCAAAAGCTGGAGGTCTTGTGTTGCTCAGACTCATTACAAATGTAGGGATTGCAGAATCACACTCTCTCTTGAGCTCGCTTGGTATAAGAACATCTGCACCCTTTCTTCCTCTCTAAAGGGACATTGGCAAGTTGCTGAGCTCCAGCAGAAGCATAAGTCTTGCTCTAATTCCCTTTTCCATCACCATTTTAGTTGACCTGTAGTCAGTCACATCTGGGTAGAATGGAGAAAATCAAAGCTGGGATTCAATCTGGCTCCTCAAAATAAATGAGTTTTTAAGAAACAGTCAAATTAGTCCTGTCTGCTTCAGGTACATTTACCTATTTTCTTCCTTACTGAGTAAGAGAAATGACACTTTTTTCCATCAAAAAGAAGAAAAATAGTGTCAGATGAATAGATGTTACCCTTTTTAGATTCCAGCATAACTGGTTTTCAATTATGTTCTCCTGAAATAGTTGGGCTATTGGTAATTAACATTATGACAAGTGTAATTTCAAACCATTTAGCACTATTTGTGGGGGCTATGTTTTATGATGGCTCACTTCCATTCTACAACAGGAAACTCTGGAACTGTTTATTTTTCTTTC